CCATTCTTAGAAGGGTGCGTAAAGTGGCTTACTTTTCTCGAGTCCGATAGCGAAGCCGAGCTTATTGTACGGGATCACCCTGGTGCGGAGGTCGGACCACATCTCGGTGGCCGGGAGGATGGTCGGCTTGACGTAGCGCAGAGCGAAGAGGGGCTCCATCTGGATCTGGAGAAGGTGGCTCTCGTTCACTGCCAGGGACACGTGGTACGGGGCCTTGAGCTTGCGGCTGCCGAGCGGGAAGGCAGCTGTGAAGAGCTGGTCGCCCTTCTTGATCTCCACCGACCCAAATGGTTGTATCTCCGAAGGGATCGAGATCTTCCCCACGGGGGACCTGAGGATGTGAGGGGGCTTGGTGTACTCGACCAAGAGCGATTTGGGCTTGGTGGGCACGCTGAAGACCGGCATCCAGTTGGACAGGATGAGGAGGCCGAGGACTCGTGCTAGCATCGCCGTTGTTTCCAGTCCCCGAGTAGCAGCGATCGCGATAAATAGCGATTTTATCGGTTGGTTATCACGGTTATATCGAGATATTATCGCATTAAAAATTGCGATACATGGAATTTAAATCGCTACACATCGCAGTTTTTGGTTCGAAACAATCGTGATCGATTTTCATCGATAAAATCGAGATTAAATCGGCATTTACCGAGATATTTATTTCGAAAATATCGCGATAATCTGTCGGACGATATATAACGATTTTATCGGTCGATTATCGCGATTGTATCGCTGGCAATATATCGAGATACTACCACATTAAAAATTGCGATACATGGAATTTAAATCGCTACACATCGCAGTTTTTGGTTCGAAACAATCGTGATCGATTTTCTTCGATTAAATCAAGATTAAATCGCCATTTATCTGGATTTTTATTTCGAAAATATTGCGATAATTTGTCGGGCGATAAAAGCGCGATTATATCGCGATAAGATCGAGGATATTCGCTCAGATGATGATGATCCTGGCGATTTTATTGCCGATAAAACCGCAATATACAGCGATTTTTCCGTCGAGAAATGCTACTTGGGTCGGCGAAGACTGAAACACAGGAAGCGAAAGGAGTTTGATACATAGTCTGTGTGATGGATCACTAAGCTAGGGTTGCCGCAGAATGGGACAGTTGCGCTGGTAACAGAAAAAGTAAAAGTTGTTGTTTGTCACTGAGCTTTGCACCGATTTTAAAGGGAAGAACAATTCCGTAGGTTTCAAATTCAAAGGAGATCTCGAGCTACAGAGTTTTTTAAGCGTCAACTCGTGGTTCGAAGTCCACCTAGTTGAAGAGTGTCTGAACACGTATTCGCTTGCTTTTCGTTTCCCGAAGAACAATTTTTTTTATGACGCCGTGAACCACAGAATTCGTCCTGTCCCGCACGAAGGAACGTAACTCCATTCCAAGGTTGTCTAATTCACTCACACAATTTAATTTTTAACGAGAAAAGACCTGCATAATTTTCGTCAAAAACGCGTCTGATTTTTGCATGAGATCAGGAGAAAAATCAGAGAAATTTTCAGTCAGAAATCTTCGAACAACTCCTGGTGAAAACGCGATTTGCAAAGAAAAATCCGACAACATTAAAATGTAGTTACGTTCTTTCGTGGGAAAAACGACGAATTGTCCAAATGTTGGAGTCGGGACTCATAAGACAATTGATGGATCAATATTTCGCGAGGAGCACCATTGATTTTCGGGAATCTTGTGTTGTTAGCGAGGGGCAATCCTTGAGACCCTTCACCCTGAACGACCTAGCTTTTGCATTCTTCGCACTCGCTATTGGACTGACGCTCAGTTGTTTCGTGTTTGTTACTGAGCTTTGCACCGATTTGAAAGGGAGGAATAATGTCGTAGGTCTCAAATTCCCACAATTAATCCAGAAATCGAATTTTTTTTTTCGCATTTCATAAGAATAGCATGAATCGCTAACTATAATCATAATCCTTGATGTCTACTATACGGAAATGGTACGTATACACTAGGAAAGCACGGATTTCGGAAGGTCGGCACGAGAAAGATACGGCAATTTTAATTCGAGATTTTTGTGGTGAAATCTGAAAAGTAGCCTTGGGAGTATGCCAGTGGCGCGGCGTGCTTTGTGATATATCGAATGATCTGCCATTTAAACCTATGGAAAAGGATCGATATATAGGGTGTTCGCAGCGAACACCTTAATAATCGATTATTTACCATAGGTTTAAATGGCATAACAATCGATATATCGCAAGTCACGCCACGCCACTGGAGTATGCAATATCCTAACGTAATCCAGTTACAAAGTTCCCGGTTCGATTCCTCGTGTATGTCCGATCAGTCCTCTGTAATTCCACCACTTGTATAATCTGGATTACGTTTTGCAATGAGGAGCCACTATTTCTGGTCCATTTCAGAAACAAGATAAATGCCGTTAGTTTCCTTGTGAAGATATGTGCTTTTATGGGAGAGCCAGAGATAGTGATTCCTTACTGCAAAATTTAATCCATCTAATTTCCATTTGATTTCGGTTATACATGTTTCTGTCTAAAATGGTTTGTTGGCACTTCATTTAAAAATTTGTTTCAAAGCAGCCTATTGTATGAGCTGTTTGATGTATCAGACTTGGAGAAAACATGACATTGAGACGTAACATGACAGGACATGGATTGCATTTTGTAAAAAGGAACCAGGAGCATTGCAACGTTGCTAAGATTGAGCAACTTCTTTTGGCTTGGAAGAAAAACCTGATTATCTATTAACAGTCTATTTTAATCGCTAAAAACTGTAAATTTAATGCAAACATGACCCAATAGATTTCATATTTTTTCATGGTTTCAGTACATTCATTGCAAAGGATGAAAATGCACAATGTTAGCATCATTGAAATTCTTCTGGTTCCTTTTTGCAAAATGCAATCCACATGTCTTTCGCGTGCGGACCTTGCCTAATAGCCCATTTCGTTAGATATGAAAGAAAATGTACCTGTTTCAAATCCAGAAAATAAGAACACTGAAAAATCACTTTGTGAGCGCGTATCCACGTATCAGAAAATCTAGAGCGACAGAAGTTGTATGCACCGAATTTCGGAAAAAAATGAACTGAAATCCATCGACACGATACGTCGACCGTTTACCCTTGTGTTGCCCTCGCTAGACTGCGTAGCATGCGTGATTCTCTTTGATTCTCGGACGTTGCGAAATCGCAATCACGCACACAATACCTCACTGCTGACGTCATGGTCTCGCAAAACATTCTATGCATTACAGAACGTCAAAGGGCTGCTTCGTGTCGCGGAGGACATCAGTGAGTCACACGGCAAGGTAACATCCAAAATATTTTGACGTGAAAACACGTAAAAGTGAGACACTTTCAGATCATCATAGTTATGAGGGGCAAGTCGGTTTTGCCTCTCGCAAAAATGAGGGGCACCTCATAATTAACGATTTTTGTTTTATCGGGTTTGATATGGGAGTTTCGTGCCCTCTCTAAGTGATTATGATCGCGATGAATTGCAATTTGATCAGGGAATGTATCGCGATTTTGTATAGACGTCAATTTCTTGCAATATTTTCTGGAAAAAAATTGCCATTTTACCGTCGGCTATTTATCGGAATATCATAGAACAAAAAATAGTGATAATTTTTAATTTATTCAACGCGATTTTGTAGAGATTTTTTTTTTTTTTTTTTTTTTTTTTTTTTTTTTTTTTTTTTTTTTTTTTGCACTAAGTGGTTTTAAAATAAACACCCAGATCCGTTGATGATCCTAGCGATTTTATCGCCAAGAAATCGCAAATTAATTTCAAAATATTGTGATTGTTCCGTCGACAAATGCTATACTGGGGTCGAAACGTTTCCATCTATGTTTTCTCACTGAAATGGTCTTGATTCCAAGTCAAGCTTAAAGTTTATACTACGTCGTTTCGTGCCAATAAAGTTTTCGTGTTGTTCAACAAAATCCAAGATACCATACTCTGACACCTCTAAGTGCTAGCTTAGAAATAGACCACTCTGGGAAGGACTGAAACACGAAATCTACATGAACGGTGGAACTCCAAATTACGTAACTCGAATTCAGTGTTAAAGAATCTCCGTTCCTGATGTAGTTTTTAACAGAGGAACAAGAAAACACCATTCCTTGAAGTTTGCTCAGAATTAGCTTTGGGCAGAGAGGAAAAATAGTGGAAGTTTTTACGAAAGTAGTCTCCCTTCGAAAAATAAAAAGTGACTGGAAATCTGCAGCGTCGCCAACCATGATACATGGTTTAGGAGTTTGACAATTGATATTTATTTCTTTGCAAATATTAAAAATGGAGGGAAAACACTTTTTCCAACTCTCAAGAATCGCCTCTGAAATCGTTCGTGATCAGACCCTTCTTCGGGAGAAAATCGGAATGCAATCAAGGCTGTTATTTTCAAAGTTCTTTATTTACAACTATTCATATTCCTTAAACGGGAAACAGGACTGAGTCTTCAATCTACGTCAAAACGAGATCAAAATCGCTCCCATGTCGCAGACATTTGAACAAACTACATTCATGTTGGCAATTTCGGCGAACCCCCTATTCAAGTGTCCATCGCTTCTTACGGTAAATGAGTCTGAATCACGAGGAGCACAATGGGAAAGTCTGCGAATCTTCCTGACTTCAAAATTTACAAAAGCACATGACGCACTTCCAAACTTTTTGCTTCCAAAAATGTTTTTTTGCTGCAGATGAGTCAGTGTAGTCTCGCAACTCGTACAGCAACATTTTACTTGGAAACAAACTTACAACAGTGGCGAGACGTTAATGATCGATTACCGATATTCCCCCACTTGAAGCAATGGTAAAGAATCGATTATTAATATGTTCGTTGCGAACACCTTGTCTCACGATCCATTTACAAACTGCTGGAAAGATGTTTCGCCGTGGTAAGAAAGAACGCCGTATTAACATTCGAGAGTTGCCAAATTTCCCTTGATAAAACATGTATTTTTTAAAACATTCATGCACATTTTTCCTTGAAATTTTCAGATATTTTACACTGAATTCCGTGCAAAATTGTCTGAAAATTTTGGGAAATAATACTCGCAATTCTCCCGGTACATTCACTTTTTATCAGAGGAAATTTGGCAATGATTGAAGGCTCATACGGCGTTCTTCTTTAGCACGACAGCATAGGTTTCAATGACAGGTCAATTTTTCTCACTTTGAAAAGTCGGGTCATTGACGTCATCCACCGCGGTAGTGACACTTTTGGTTCCTTCCTCTTTTCTTCGACTAACTTTGCAGAGGGCGCAACGCGAAACTTCAACGACATTCGAGCATAAAAAAATTGTGGTGAACTGACTGACTGCCGAACCTCTTTGCGTCGACTGCGATCTCTCCTGATAAGAAGATCCTTGAAGGGCGAATCCGTCTGTTTCTTCAGTTTATTTTCCAGGGTTTCTTTTCCACTGTCTTTTTTACCAGTGTTTACTTATTCTTGGTTTTTATTTTGGCTTTGAGACATATGCCACAGAAGTGGTATTTGGGCATATAAAGCTGTTTTTCTGTGGTCGTTCATTAGGTTTACATCTTGAAATAAAAATATCGGTACCTATACAGAGTTGGCCATAACTTCAGTTCTAATTATGATATCGACTTGAGGTTTAAGATAATTTGAACAGGGGTTATGATTTTCTGAAAATAGGTCAAATTTGACCTTTGATTCATAACTCGGTCAAAAATTAAGGTACTGATCTGCGGTTTGCGCCGAAATTCTTAATTTTGTATGTTCTTTCAAATGATGTATCACAGAATAGGGGTTACTATTTGAAATAAAAAGTTGGGGGCCCCCTCACCCCCCCCAACTTTTACAAAAGAAACAACAGTCAAATCGCAAGTCCCTCACACATACAACATCTCCATTTACAGCAAAGTCCTTCAAGACTAGTTTAACCCTCTTTAGGGCGTGGCGGTCTGGGTCTGGGATGGTCGGTGAGCTTGAAGGAGTTGCCGAGGTCGTCGGTGAAGACCAGCTCATCCGAGTACACGTCCATCTCTGGCGTGAGGAGCGTGTACAGGGGGCACGCCGCACCCATCGGCCAGTAGGGCGTGTATTTCCGTCCGAAGGTTTTACCGTACGTCAGATAGTCCACGTAGTGCTGCCAGTTGCAGTTGACCAAATTGAATGGAAACGTCCTCGAGTACAGCCTGTAGGCCAGAGCCGTCGCTGTAAGACACGGATTCAACGGATTAGGACAAACAAGCGGGAGAGCTCTAATAGACCGTAATCGCTAACGGTTTGATGTATCGTTTGGTTCAAAACAATAGAGCATAACCTCAAACCAAACTGTAAGGATCAGAGACAAGAGACCCTCCACTAGTATCTTGGCCATGGTGGAAGCTTTTACTTTCGGGACTTCAGCATTCTACTGTTGACTTACCTACATGGTTGATGTTCAACAACGTGTTGGCAGTTTCGTTTTGCAAACAAGCCGAAAATGGCCGACGTTTGGGAAAGTTGTTTGGCTCATGACGTCATCCGAAGCTCATCATCGACCATGTAGGTAAATCAACAGCCGAAAATAGGGTGATGACTGTTGCTCGCTAATAATTGTCCATAAGGAATTGTTGAAACCCCGAAAGTAAAAGCTACCACCTGTCGCTAGGAGGCCAGTGGAGGTTCTCTTGTCTCTGTTCTGTACTCATAAGTATAAAAAATCTTCCACTGAAAACCCGTTCCCTCAGATTACTCAATTAACTTTGGAAGCTATGTTTCTTTGTTGAACCAATCGATATCGATAATATCTCAACTATTTGATGTATTGAATACGATCCGTAGGTTCGTATTAAGTTAGCTCTCAGCTGATTTCTATTTAAGCGTCGTTAAACTGGTGCGCATTTGACCGCATTGCCACTAATAGACTAAACTTCCAGAGGCAAGTTGAAATAAAAATGGTCGCAAACCGAGACACGTGGTTGCGGACTTACATATACACCGTCGGTATGTGCTCGGTACTTGCAGATTGACAAACTAGACTGTATCTTTGTCTTCAATAGAGGAGGAAAGAGAAGAGGAAGATGAAGAAGAAGGAGAAAAAGAAGAAGAGGAAGAAGATGAGGGAGAGAGAAGAGAGGAAAGAGATGAAGGAGAGGAAGTAGAGGGAGGAGAGGAAGTAGGAAGAGGAGGAAAGAAGAAGAAAAAGGAAGGAGAAGAAGAAGAGGAAGAAGGAGAAGAGGAAGGAGAAGAAGAAGAGGAAGGAGACAGAGAAGATGAAGGAGACAGAGAAGAGGAAGGAAAAAAGAAGAGGAAGGAAAAAAGAAGAGGAAGGAAAAAAGAGGAAGAGGAAGGAAAAAGAAGAAGAGGAAGGAAAAAATAAAAAGAGGAAGGAAAAAGAAGAAGAGGAAGAAGGAGAAGAGGGAGAAGGAGAAGAAGAGAGGGAGAGGAGGAAGAAGGAGAAGAGGAAGACAGAGAAAGGACAAGAGGAGGAAAAGGAGAGAAAGAAAATGAAGAATAAGATGAAGCAGGAGGAATTGAGGAAGAAGAGGAAGAGGCAGCAGAAGCAAAGGAGAAGGAGGAAATTTTTAATAAATTCTCATCGAAAGGAACTTACTTTTCTCAACTCCAAGAAGGCCCTTCTTAGGGTCCGGCTTGACGACCGCGACCTCAAGCTGCTGCTCAGTGTGGGGCCAGCCGTCCTGCTGCCAGTGGAAGATCGTCGGCTCGACCTCGAAGAAATACCTCTTCCTGAAATCAGGGATGACCTTGAGGAGCCGCTGATCGTCCAGCGCCAGGTACACGTAGTACGGCCTCCAGAGCTTGTCCGTGTTCAGCCAAGACCTCAGCCTCTTCCTGTTGAACGGCCCCAACGACGACATCGCCGAGACGTAGATGTGGTCGCCCGCCTCGAACTTCAAATTACCCATCTTCCCCGTCGGTGTGAGAGTCGTCCAGTACGTGGAGTAGGGCTGCGGGATGTTCGGGGTCTTCTTCCACCGCGATCTCCGCGGAGGGGAGCTCCCTGAACTACTCGAAGAGCTCCCTGAACTGCTCGAGGAGCTAGACGAAAACGAGCTCCTGGAGGTCGATGAACCCGACGAGGCGCTGCTGAAAGAATGGGCAAAGGACGCTACATGCATGGTGGGCGAAGCGTTATCGGCCAAGGTTCTCTTTCGCGGTCTACGTGGTGATGAGTCTCTGGGCGCGTCACCGGGCAAGGGTTTCGACGGAGACCTTCTTTCGGGCGAAGGTTTCTTCGGAGACCTCTTTGAAGATCTTTCTTTGGGCGTGTAATCGGAGTCTAGTGAATTTTGCGGCGCGAAGGGATGAGCCGGGGTGGATCTCGTTGAGCTGCCCGGCGAGGGCAGGGGTAAAAAGCCCTCGGAGGAATACGAGGAGTGTGAGGAGGTAGGAGAGTATGATTGCGAGGAAGGTGGGATGTCCGAGGAGTGTGAGGAGGTGGGAGAGTATGATTGCGAGAAAGGTGGGATATCCGAGGAGTGTGAGGAGGTAGGAGAGTATGGTGGCGAGAAAGGTGGGATTATCTCCGGTGTTGAGGTGGGTGATCTGCCGAGCCATCGAGAGAAGAAGTGCATGGAGACGATGGGTGCGACGAGCGAGGAGAGTACGAGAAAGAGCGCTGGCCGGATGAGCATGATGATCCCTGTCAGATGGCGATGTTGTAGTGGTATTCTGAAGATGTTCTCGACATGATAAAGATCTTCTCTATGGCAATATTATTGTCAGATGTTCGAAATAGTTCATAACATTTCCGAGGTAAAATAGTTTTACAAGAATGTTTGAAGAATATGCTGGAGGAAAGAGGCTGGATTCTTGTAGTGGTATTTTGAAGATGTTCTCGACAAGATAAAGATGTTCTTTATGGCAATATTATTGTCGAATGTTCGAAATATTTCATAACATTTCCGAGGTGAAATAGTTTTACAAGAATGTTTGAAGTATATGCTGGAGGAAAGAGGCTGGATCCAGTAGAAATAGAATATTTTTTATGATGAAGCAGAGTATTTCTTAATTTGCAGCAGGGAAATGTTGCCCTGAAAAAAAAATAAATAAATTAGCGCTTGTTATTGTATCAGAAACATAGAGTACATACACGGTAAAAAAAAACTTCGCGCGTGCATGGGACCCGAAGTTGCGGTCATATGGGTCTCTGAAGTTTTCGGATCACGCATCTGAAACTCTCGGTATGTACCGGAGTACTTCAGATGTGTGACCTCGGCCCTTCTGTACATACCGAAGTACTTTAGAAGTCTAACCCGAGCTTCGGCAGTTGGACTTCAAATTTTCGGATGCGTGATCCGAAAACTTCAGAGATCCATATGACCTCAACTTCGGGTCTGATGCACAAAGTTTTTTTCTCCGTGTACACTCAGAGATGGAAAGTGAAATTTCACGTTTTGAAATTTCATGAAATTTCACAAGGCCCGAATAAATTTCAAAAAAATTGAAATTTGTTGATTTTTCAAAGAAATATTGTTACTAAGCCTCGGAAACGGTTCAGATGATCCTCCTGCTGATGCAGCAGAATATGGCCCACTAATGAGATGCTACACCCAAAGGAGGGGGCACAAGGGGGGTTTTAGAGAAAGTTAGCCCTAACCTAACCTCCAAACCAAATGTAAACAGACATGTACCCAGCAAATCGCGTGGCCGTGGACAAGATTATAAGAACATCACACCCTTTTAGAAACGTTTTACTTTAGTAC